CTTCTGACATTGGCCTCAAACCATTCATACACTGCTTTGCATAATCTGATGCACGGCACAACACGTGATACACTGATCTCACAGCATCTGACACACTGCATACACTGCATTCTGCACTGTACTCTGTACTGATAGACTGCTCACGGCATTCTCATACTGTACTCACACACTGCATTCTGCACTGATAAACTGCTCATGGCATTCATACACCGTATCCACACACTGTATTCTGCATTGCTAAACTGCTCACGGCACTCTTACTGTATTCATATGCTGTATTCTGCACTGATAAACTGTCTACAGTATACTGATGCATTTCTCTTTTGTGTACTTTTTCAGCCTCCTTTCCAGATTCCTATGGCAGGAGGTGCTCCGGCCAGACCTTCTGTCCCTGCTCGGGGGAGAGATGAGGAGGGCAGGATATTTCCCCGTACCAGGGGAGGGCGTACTCACGTCGGGAGTAGCTCGCGAGCTCCAGTCCCGGATGATGACGACGACGAGGAGTCAGAGGCGGAGGCAGAGTCATCGGAGGAGGAGACCGGAGACGGTTCCAGCTCGGGCTCTGATGACGACGCTGATGATGTTCCTGGACCCTCGTCCAGGAAGAGGACCAGGACGGACTGACAGCCCTTGGAGTGCTCGGCAGAGATGCGGATTTTTGCTATCTTTTCTTTCTTTCCTTGTACTTTTCTTTTTGGTTGGTAGATAGATTACCTTGTACTGCCGCAGGCAGATTTTGTTTCCAAAACTTGTACATTTGAAAAGATAATGAAATGAAACGGACTTTTTATCTAAAAAAAAGTGTTTACATTGACACATCTCATGCATTGCATCGCTTTTCATCATGTTACACCTCAATGTAAACGAAATTGATTGGTTATCTGAAAATTGAACACTTGCACTTGTAATAATCAGATAACTTAAACAGCCAACAGCAAAATAACCCAAGCAACCCACTGCCTGATTCTGGACACACAGCCCTTGCTCTACTGGGGATTAATCTGCACACAGCCCATATCACAACATTCGATTCATCCTACACACAGCAAATTCTAAACAAAACAGCCCAATCTGACAAGACGGACCTCAAAGATGGAACCGGTTGGAGTCAAAATGCGTTCAAATGTAGAGAATGGCACAGCATTCTGATCATAAGCGATTTTTTAAATCGAATGAGGGTTTTTCAAACCGGGATATCGAGCCTACAACTGAACACAGCGGGGAGGACTAAAATATAAAGGTACACGACCTAAACACAATGAGACACGCTCGGGAGAGACTCAAAACAAAAGACGAGACCGTCAAATGAAAGAGACACGACACACAGACGCGTAAACGAAGATGGGAGGCCTCGGACCACGAGGAGCCAATTTAATCTGGGTATTATTTCCCACCCTTTCTCATTTGTGATCCTCACATCACTCGACTCTCAAGCTCGGATTTTCTCTCAAAACCCTTTTCCTCACTTTTCTCTCAACTTACACCTCTCTATTCTTCAATCTCTCATTTTCCATCCCTCCCCGGGGTGAATGATGAATGAACAGGAAGTTGCGGGTTCACGCCCGATGCCGTTAGCTCACAGCTA